AAGTTGTATGTCCTGGGCCTCTCAGCCATGTCAAAGTTTTGGTTGGGGATAGAAGGGATAGTAGGTTTGGCCACCCCTGACCACAAGACCTCAGAGCTACCACTAATCTGCTTGCTAGTTTGTCAGTCTAGAACTAAAATGACAGAGCCCCTTCCTTATTACATTATCTTGCTATTTGGAAAATATCTACTAAAATAACAACACTGACAAGCACAGCAAACTTATTTCAGAAATTACTGTATTTACAGGAATCTAAGATGGTTCTGAATTTAAGATAATCCCCCAATAATTAGATTCTATACATGGAAAATTCATAAATATAATAATTTTCCTTGTATAGAATCTAATTATTGGAAGGTTATCTTAAAATTCATCCCACACAGTCTCTGCCCCTTCTGCTCCCTCCCTGGAGCTGGGCCTGGAGCAGACACGTGCTCTGTGCTTCAGGCTGAAGCAAGAATGAAGTCTGTGATGCTGGAGAAAGGGTGAGGGGTGGAGGTGGAGCAGCCAGGAGGTAGGCAGCAGCTGCAGCTCCAGCCTCAACTCAGTCAGAGCCAGAGCCACAGCAGCTGTCTGTCCTGCATCACCTTGCATTTAATTCCAAAACAAGGGACTTTTATTCCCTCTGCTTCCTTTCCCCCTTGTTAAATGCAGAGAATACAGCCTCGTCTTGGAAAAAAGTAAATAAAATAGTAAAATGGACCACATAAGAATTATTGCACAACAGAAATCTTGTATTGGTGGCAAACAGCATTTCAGATTGCTGTTCACATACAATTCCCTTCCATGCCCCTGATCCCATCTTTTATGCTATGCTTCATAATTCTTTCTACACCAAAACCTACTGCTGATCCTGGCCTTTGGGAACATAGTTGAGCTGTGAATACACCCAAAGAATTATGAGAAGATCCTTCAAATCCAGGGATTCAGGATGGTTTATCACCATCTCAGCCATAATATCCAGCAATTTAGTGGGTCGAAAGTGAAGATTTTCAAAGACAGACAGAAGCATAACAAGCTAAAACAAAACAAAAACAAGAAAAAATGGTATTAAAAACAGAGGAAGAACTGCAATATGACAACTCAATCTGCTGGTATCATAGAATTAGAGAGATGTTTATTGGAAAAACAAAACTTTTTAAAAGGTTAATAGCTATATTATCCTGAGCCTGACCTATTTATTACCATACTGCAACAAACAAAAGAGTGGTTGGCTGCTATATTTAAATCCTAATTAAACACTATTACTAAAACATTAAGACTAGTTATTATATCAATGTTATTGCAGATTCACCCTCTACCAATTTGGGTAGCTACACAATGCTGCAAACATCAAAAAAAGTTACAAATTAACATGCTTTAGATGCAAAACAAATTTCAATGTTATTCCTTTTAAACATTTAAGAAATTAAAACTAAGTTATTACTTTATGTCTTTTAAACTTTTACACCAAAAATCTGACTAAGTAGAACAAAACTGGAAGTTATAACCCACTGCAATCCCAAATCAGAAGACAAACTTAACTACAAGTTATAATTAGGAATTCCATGAACCAGAGAATGCACACTTCTTTCTAATACCAGCCCTGCTTGATACCACTTTAAGTCTTGTGGTCGTATCCTCACCTGTTTAATGCTCCGCAACTTGATGAATGTAGTCACATAGCTTTCTATGGCTAAAAACATTTCTACATTGTAGTAGCGGAGAATATAGCAAGTGTTCAGAATACGGTTGAAATCAAAAACTGTACTACCAGGGAGATTCGCTGCAAATAAAACAAAAAGAACAGATAGTATACAGACTGGGAATGTAGGCTGACATTATTGGCACTGGAAGAACGAGGGGAATTGAAACTCGAGTGAAAAACAAAAAAATCAGATGTGGAACTGAAGGATGGGGGGCTAGGCAAGATGTTGAAGAAAGGAAACATGAAGAGTGCAGAAACATGAGCAAGTGAGGATAGCAGCACCAGATCAAGGGCCTGGGATGACTAGGAGATATGACTAGTCCAATAACGTTGGGTCTGGGCAGATGGGTTCAACACAGGCAAACATGAGAAGTACCAGTACCCACTCAAGCATACTTACCACCCTTGCAGTAAAAAAATATCTGTGAAATGGTAAAGTATCTTATTCCCCTCGTGACAGGGGACCATCTCAAGACCAAATCTCACCTTTGAACTGCCCACCTGTCTGGGGCAGTCTGTCCTGTCTCACCTGCCACGACTCAATGAATAAATAACTGGATGTAAAATGCAGGAGGCTGCCCATTTATACCCTGATGCCTAGGGCATTATACACAGCTCCAACTTCCCCTATACCATGCCTCGCAGATGGCATAAGTTGGTAATAGCCAGTCCGTGGCTCAAAGTCTGCCCCTTGCTGGGCCTCTAGCATTCTTCCCTAATACTCTGCCCTTCACAGGGCCTCAAACACACTGCCTGCTTCTGGGCCTCATTCATATTGCCCCCTCACTGGACCACTCTCAACCCGCCCTATCCCACAGCCTCTTCGGGCCCCCCGTGAACCCTACTCTATACAGCCCTTCAGGCTTTACAACTAAAACTCCAGCCGGTCCACATGCAGCCCTTCAGGCTTCCCTCACACAGACCCTTCCTCTACATGACCGCCACTGGCCTTATACCTCACACTGGGCTGAACTCAGCCTCTAGACCCCCTCTGGGCCGCTTCTTTAGGTTCACACTCTTATGGGGGTTGGCCCGTGTGCTGCCCTTCAGGCATCCCCTGCAGCCCTACTCTACACCTCTCATGCACAGTCCTTCAGGCCACCACTGCGCACCCTACTGTGTGGGCCTCCACACACACTTCCGCCCTCTCGCTGCTCTCTCTCTGTCCCCTCTCTCGGGTCTCTGGGAATCTTACACCCGATGGGACTCAGGTGTCTGTAGACATGCCTGGCCCCCATGCCTGTCCCTACATCTGGGTAACCCACCAGGATGTTGGGGCTGAGGCTTTAAGGTGCCCCATACTTGCCTTTCACTGGAGAGGCAACTGGCCTGGCATTTCCTGGGGACCATCCTACCACGGGCAGATGCAGCAGACGATCCTACCCCAGTAGGGTGTAGTTTTCGGTCATTCCCCAGGACCAGGAGCCTCCTGCCATTCCCATAGCTCCTGCCCTGTATCTCCAAAGTGTTGTGAGTAGCAGCTCCAACTGGGTGGTGTTCTTCCAGCTGCTTACAGCAACTGCTGCCTCAGCCCTGAGGGCCTGGGTTTAAAATGGAGGCTGCTCAGCCCCCTCCTCCTATCCCAGGGCCTTCCTGCAGTCATGTGACTGCCTCATCAGAGCTAGCCAACACCTGCCAGCTGCCCTGCTGCCTGCTCGAAGCCCTTAAAGTGGCAGGCACCAAAAATGTTCTGCCACACCCCTGTAGAATTAGTCTATAGACAGGATTACAGCCTTTCACAGTGTACTCGACTTGTATGCATACTCGGGACCAGTCACTTGCATAGCACACTGCCAGTCTCCCTGTTAACTTGTTGCCTACTGCTTACTTTGCAGTGAGCAAAGAGAAGCCCTCAAACTCTATTGAAAAACCTGGAAATGAAGAAGGCAAGTCAGTTTTAAGATTGCTACAGCCACAGCACTGACAGTGCTGGATACTTAATGAACAATGCTTACCTCAAGCTCAGGTAAGTAAATACACACCCTCTATTCAGTTCGAAGGCTACTCGCTTATACACACTTCACTGTTTTTCAGCCCGTTATTCTGTTCGCTGCTGTGCCAGATGTCTGTGGAAAGGTTCTAAAAGGTTGCAACCCTGCTGACGACTAATGCAGGGATCACTGCGATAACCCATCGTGTTGTTTTTGCTTTTTCAGTTTGATTTTTCTTTAAAAAGTTAGTAAGCTTCACTTTTACATACACACAAAAAGCCCTACTTTAAAAGAACACTACATTTATAAAGTCAAGTGTTCAAAAGTTAGGAAACGTCAAAATTAAGGTTGCTGCATTATCTTCATCTGACCCCCTTGCACGTATGTATTATAATACAACTTTTATTAACATGATCGCAGACCATTTCCCCAAAAGACTGCTGCCTCATTCAGTGAACAGGGATGAGCCTGCTCTTAGGATGAAACTAGGTCACACTGAAAAGGCAGCTGTTGTCTGTAAGCCCTGCTTTATTTGTTGCAACAACTGGAAGGTACATATTGAAAAAGTGGTGGCTGAAGAATGAGAAAGGACAACTGCATGGTTAAGGCAGTAGGAATGTTGTCCTGCATGAGCCACCTTAGGTCCTAGGTGGTGCTGAATAAATCAGTTTGACCAAACTCCATTTCATAGACACTAATCATGTTTCTCTTTTCCTAAGTGCCCAACTTGAGAGCCTGGGGTCTGCTTTACAGAAGTACCAAGTGTTTACAAACAAAACTATACTATTCTATTTGTAAGTCAACACTCTATAAAAGCTAAACGCACAGTTTTGGGTTCAATTTTAGGAAAAACAGCTTTTCTCCTGAACATAAATTGCTATGTACTCAACAGGACCCTGAATGCCTACTGCCCTTATAAAAATTACACTGTAGAACCCAACAGCCAAGAACACAACTCAAAGGTTAAATACACTAAGGATCATAAAAAAACAGCTCCCAAAACATTCTGACTTTATATATTTATTTTCTGCATAAAAATACTACAGGTATAAATGTCAAGATTATGGGACAGCCTGATTACAGGTGGAGTCTATGTATAACTGTATTATTTATAATTCTCTGGAAGGAAAAAGAAAAGGTAAATTTATATCAGAAAAACAAAAGCCAAGTCAATGGACTTAGCACATATAAAAGAGCTATACAATGATTCATATTCCAAAAAGGGGGGGAGGGGGAAATCAGAAGACAAACATCTCAGAATTTGAATTCTGGTTACCCATTTCTCAGTTTCACATAATTAAAATGCAAATAATACCATCAGCTCACCTAATGGATGATGTGAGAATGATTCAGTGAATGTTTCTGAGCACGTCAATACAGCAGTAGGGAGCATCATTGAAAATCATCCAGTAGAAACTAAGAATTCTGCCCCTAGAGCAGTGGTTCTCAAACATTTTTTTTGTAGACCACTTGAAAATTGCTGAGGGTATTGGCAAACCACTTAAACTTTTTTTTGTTTTATATGTCAAAACACACAACTCATATTTTAATATCAGTAGTTTTTACCTTACAAGTACAGATATTCTTGATTGTTCTGCAACCTTTCTGCGGACCACCTGAATGGAGCTCATGAACCAGCAGCGGTCCACAAACCACAGTTTGAGAACCTCTGCCCTAGAGGACACCTGAACAGCATACAGTAAATAAAGCATGGGACTCCAGAAAGAACAATGAGGAAAAAAACTGGTGAATAGCAGTGCCATAGCCATAATGGTCTAGTACTGGACGGTCCAACTGGAAGCCTACAGGCTGCATGCAGCCCACAAGCGGTTAAGCTGAGGCCCACTCAGTCCTGCCCAGCCACAACTCGCCCAACTGCTCTGGCTGAACAGCAGCTAAGGTCTCTAGACTCCCTGTCCTCTAGCCTTTACATTCTACATCTGCCCCAAGGGGCAGCACAGTGTGGCAAGGCACAAAGTGCTCAGCGTAAGACTGAAGCCCTACAGCACATGATGCATCAAGAGGGATGGTAGCCCATGTGAGTGCATGCTGCAGCAATGCTGAGGTGCGGGTAGGGAAGCATCCACATGGGGTTGTTGCACCAGTGGGTACTGTAATGTGTCCACAGGTGCAGCCCCCAGACCAATGTGGAGAGAAGCATCCACAGCGGGCTGCAGGTTACATTCCAGCCTGCAGACGTCACTGTTGGAATGACCCTGAGCGAATGCTCCTCTCCGCAGTGGCATGAGGACCCGCACCTACTGGCCCAGGGCCTGAAACACCAGCAGGGGTGGGCTGGGGCTCCTGGCCTAGTGGGTGTTCTGTGTCCACATGGGATCACTGCAGTAGTGGAGACCATGCAACTCATAGGCCAGTAAGCACAGCTCCCAGGCCAGTGTTGGTTGGATGGGGGAGGAGGGCAGGAAAACATCCACACAGGGTCATTTCAGTGTTGGGGGCTGTGCAGTCCTCAGGCTGATGGGTACAGTGGGGAATAGTCATGCAGGGTCATTACAGCAGTGGGGATCAGACGAGTCTCAGGCTGGTGTGAGGGGCAACATCCATGTAGGGCTGTTACAGCAACGGGACCATGCAGCTCCCAGGCTAGTGGATACAACCCATGAGTCAGCTGAGAGTGTTCATAAGAGATGCCTTTTCATGGCATTAAAAAGGGCAGAGATCACAAGAATTACTTTCTTTTGTTATACACCCATAGGGCTCCTTGTCAGATGGAACTGCACTGCGATGATAACATTATCTAAAACAATGTTTCTTGAATTTTAAAAGAAATCGGAAAAAAGGAAACACCGCATTCTCATCAGGAAGGACTTGTGCAGAAGAACTGTAAAGTTTTACTCACCAACAATTTTCTTACTGCAGCCATCTAGGATTGGAATAGAGGTGTAATTCATCACACCCAGCGTGTTAAATATACTTTTAGCATTTTCTGAAGTCAAACTATGCATCTGTTTCAAAACTCTATTCTAAAATGAAATAAATGTTGTTATACTTATTATAGACTGAAGCAGTTCAAGTTTTCACTGACTTAAGACAAAGTGAGTAGGGAGATCAAATTATGCCAAATCCTCTATCTTTACCAAATATGGGGAACTTAAAAACTCCTTCTATTAAAACAAACAAAAAAAAAAAAATCACAATTTACCACAAGCACAGTATGAGCTGTCTATGATCAACCTTCAAGCTGCTGCAGTTTCTTTCTTGAATTAACTAGGTAAAATGACTGCATAATTTTTGTTTGCCAACCAGAATGGCAAATCATTGCTGGTGTATTTACTGCTATTGCAGTCTTGCCTACGTGCAAGATTTCTAAGCCCACTGTTTCCCGTTGCACTATCCCTTGACACAATACACCCAATTAAGCTAGTGAAATAAAAGTTAATGGGCTCAAGCTTAAAGACACTTAAATGAGAGTAAAACAGGAGTAACTGCTTTCACATGGACAGTTATACTAATACAACTATTCCTGCAAATCAAGCCCACTAACTTTAGCATCACCAGATGTTAAATAGAATGTAATTCAGTATATTTGCACATCACGTCATACAGAGCAACGAAGGAGAAGATCAATAAGAAAACATATGTCAAAATACAGTTCAAATACCTTTGACCAATACCAGGTGCTTTCATTGGACTTAGAGAATATTACAAGAACTCCATTATGCTGGGAACAAACAGATCTGTTCCTTGCCTCTTAATACCATCTTCTCTAAATTTCAGTCCCTCTTACAGAGACACGTCTTTTTGGACCCTGACAGCAAATATTGCTGGTGTATGTTCACTAAAAAAAAGTTTTGCTATCGCCAACCTACTGTCTAAATTCTGACCTGTCCTTATAGTAGGAGCAGTCACCATTTATTCTCTACAGCTGCAAAATGCTACACAGTTGTTACACACCCAACCAACAAATAGCCATGCCATAGCACTAGCTAGATGGGAGTCACAGAAGGCCCAACCAAGAACAATTCTCATCTTTTACCTCAAATTGCTTTTTGAGACACAGTTTGGCACCTTTTCCAAAATGCTTCATCATGGATTGCAAAAGATTAATGTCACTGATCTCTGGCATCCGTTGCTTTACCACCATCCTGATAAAAGGAAATGGAATTTGTTAAGTGAAGCCTGAATCAGAACCAGAGCAAGCGCACACACATACATTTGCCTCTACTTGATACAGCCTAAGTTAAACTGATATAATTCACCCTTTCTCCAGTCTTCCTGTTAAACTGGTACAGCTGTACACTGATCCAACAGCAGTGTGGATGTCTACCTATACTAATGTAATTATTCTGGGAAAAGAAATCTCCCAATGATACCTTACAATGTGCTGCCCTGTGAGAAACTCTCCCCCACCTTTTCTAAACTTCACTGCTCAGTCAGTGATTGTTACTTATATACTCCAATACATTCCGTTAGTAAATAATCCCAAAGAAAACACTAAAAACTTATTCAGAAAAATAATGTTACTCAGTCTCCTTTCAAGTCATACTTATATTCCACAGAAGCAAACATTCATATTACATGACTATAAGTAAAAAAAAAAAAAAGATGCATTTTTTTCTTACTGTAGTCCCAATTGAAGAGCATCTACATTCTTGCATTTTTCCATCTTTTGTATGGTACACACCAGATGCAAAAGACAGTTGTCACTAAATTCATTGAGACGCTCCTATTAAAAATATGTTCATAAAGTTAATAAAAATACTTCAGCCTTGTAAGCAGAACAGCCAATTTTTACCAGCCACTTTATCCAAGAAAAATATCAATTCACTGAGTCTCATTCTCCTTTGACCTACAAAAGAGTCCGGCTAGTATATTTTACTGATTTCAGCAGACTAATTCCCAACTTACCATTAATAAATCAGAAGAGAACACAGGTCAAAAAGAAAAAAAAACCCCACATTGTGCAGAAAAGAAAGCTTTGCACCAAACACTGCAAACAATATAGGTAGAAGTCAATGAACAGATCAACTGGTCACATAACAAATATCATCATCATTACTGGTATGGCAGTTATTAAAAAACTAAGCAGTGCCAATGCATTACATCTATGGCCTCCTATGAGGCTCAATTAGGACTCCCTTATCTAATTAATTGTTGCCCCGTTCTGCCCTCAGAATTGTGGACTGCTTTATTTCCATTCTAATATAATACAATATAATAAAAGCCTTTGTCTGTCCGTAATGCTCCAGACCAACTGTGTATGCACTGCTGAGAGGGTGTGCGTTGATAGGCTGCGAGGGCACAGAGTGTTAGGAACAAAGAAGGTGAGGGAGCCATGGCACCACCCCCACCCCCAACAACAGCTGGCTGGGAGGGGAGGCAGCAGGAAAGAGGGGAGGAAGCGAGTGAGGGGAACAGGAAGGGGGGGTTCCAGTGGTAGCACCCACCCCCTGCTGCTGCTGTGCCCCCCCACCTCTGCTGCTGCCGCCACCCAACCCCAAACAACAGCTTGCAGAGAAGGGGAGGCAGCAGGGAGGCAGGAGAGGAGGGGAGGTTGGGGGCGTGCGGGATGTTGCCTGCCACTGGGTGTTGGCGGCTGCAGGGGGTGCAAGCTCCTCTCCCCCCACCTGTTCCTGGGAGCTGGCATTAGCGTGGGGTGGAGCAGCAGGGGTGCACGGGGCTGGATGTGGGGCTGCATGGGGCCGGAAGCAGAGCAGCAGCACTGCAGGTCACTGGGTAGCCGGGCTCCATCTCCACCCGTCTCTCATGATTCATGACAGGCAATTTGCTACTTTTATCAATAACGTTTGGCTATTAGTAAGACAAGATGGCTAAGGGTGGAGAAACAGAGGTGCAGGATATATTGAAGGGGTGATGTGGATAGGAACAGATTTTAGGAAAAGGGAAAAATGGTGGAGGAGGAGAGGGAACGACAGCTCCCCAGACTGGGTAAGAGCAGCAATGTAGCTGAGGGTTTTGAGGGAGAAAAAGAAAATCAAGGAGGAAACGTCAGTCAGAGGATAAGCCATGTCCTGGAAGTGACAAAACCTCTGTGGTAAAACCTGAAGCTGAGAGAGAATGACCAGAGGAAGTCCATGGTCAATGGTAGTAGCAGCAGCACCCTGGGAAAGTGCTAGAAAAAGAGGGCAGTCTAGGGAAGCATATAGCCATAAGTAAGCTGATTACATAAAGTTGCCAGGAAGGTACAGCAAGCAAAGTAACTGGGAATCAAAGAGAAAAAGAGGGTCTCTGGATCCTCCCATCAGGGTGGATAAAAAAACAAAAAAAAAATCAGACTTTTTTTTATTTTTATTAATATCAGATTTGTATTTACTTAATTTATTTTATTAAGGTGTTTAAAAAATAAACTTTAATTTTATAATATGTTAAAATTCAAAGATATCATCATGGAATAAGTATTGTAATTTCTAATGATATACTATTTGAGACAATATATTCATGTAACCTTTTCAGAAGTTTTATAAATAGATCGCAACAGGCCATAGTCTATATTAGGGGCCCAATATTATGGGGTCCCCAGAGGCTCCTCTATAGATTAGTAAAGATTAAAGAAAACCACTCTACCCAATGGGACTCAGTGCTCAGTTGAGAAGAACCCATTAAGCATCTCTGTGATGCTTAGTTTCAGCTCTCACACTGTGGATTTGGGTCTCCAGAGATCATAGTTATTTGGGTAGATGTGATATCTTTTATTAGACCAACTAAATAGTTGGAAAACTGTTCTTTGCAAGCTTTTGGGCATAAACGCCCTTCTTCAGGCATAAGGAGAGGTTTTTTGTCTCCAGAAATAACTTTCTTGTTAACAGCGGTATGTGGAGATGAGAGATAACAGACCTGATTACCCTACTGTCTCTCTGCAAGCCTGTGTACACACAGGCACACCCTTACCCTTCTCTAAAAGTGCAGTTTTAAGAAGTTAAATGAATAAAGGATATCAAGCAACAACAACACACTTTTTGTAGAAAACAATGATTACATTGAGGCTTCCTGACATTTAAATAATGATTCAAATTGATTTGAATTAAAACAAATCCACCCTGCCTCCCATAAAAAAAATAGCAAAAATCCCTTCCCCTCACTATTCTCCTCCCCAAACACAACTGCCTTATATTATGAGAAGAAGAAAAAAGAGGGGAGGTGGGAACAAAGGGGAGAGAGCTCTGCTTCAGGCAAATCTGGTTTCAACACAGCTTAATGAACAAGTGTTCTTTGAGATCAAGAGGTTCAGCTCATCTCCCCTCATAATGCAGCATAGCAAGGAAAAATGCAGAGAAAGCTTGGACCTAACTCACACTGTTTCTACCTTCACAGACTTTCAGACACTATGATATCTACTGCCTGTCAGAACTGTCCCAACAATTTTATCCCAATATTAAAAAAGAGGTTCTGATACTTACGTGACAGACCCTTAACAAGGTCTGAATTAGCAGCGAGTTCTGGGAAACTCCTAGATTAAATGCAGCATGCAGGCTGCACACCAAGTCTTTTCCCCAGATGTTTACAGAATGCTCCAACAGATACTGACTTGCCACAACAAAGGCAGGATGCTCAAATATCATCTGTCTTTCAGAAAGCTTATTATCTGCAGGCATATTTTTGATGAGTTTCCACAATGCACAGAAACTGCTTGAAATAACCTTACTGGAATAACCAAACGTTGCAAGTAGGTCTAATACATCACAGGGCGTCTTGCATGTCTCAAGAGCATCAGTGAACAGTTGGAACTGACTTCTACCCTCCATCTGCAAATTCCTTTCATCACCTGCACTCTCTCGTATGACATTCAAAGCATTCATAGAGCTTTGCTCATGTAACTGAGTCTTTCTATCTCTCTGTTCATTGACATCAGCAACTTCTGTACTAAAATCACGTGTCTCTTGAGGCAGAAACTGGAGACGGGATTCAAGCCAGGAACCAGGAATATTTACCAGGACTTTCTTTAGGTTCGTACTTTGTACAGCACTCTTATATTTATTGGTCCCCAACATATATGTCCTCGTAGGTCTAACTCTGAAACCACCACAACATCTCACTGTCCTTATCAAATAAACAATGTTATGATTCATCCTGTTCAGTTCTTGTTAGCAGTTTTCAAACGCCAGCTTAGAACATACGGTCTTGTTGAAATTCTAGCAGCAAGCACAGACCTGAATAACACGGTAAGAGAATTTACTGCAAAATAAATTCAACATTACAGATTCACTAGAAAGCTTTCAGTTCAAAGATAAAAATACCATATCTTGAAACACCTTTGTAATGGAGCATTGAGGAACGGGGAGGAAGGGGATAAAAATAGGTTTACATCAGGGACTTGAAACTGGACTTGCCACATCCCCACTGAGACCCTTAATCACCAAATCACTGACTGTTACAGAGTTGCAACTCTTTCTGGTTTTGACCAAAAATTCCATTCGGGGACCAGGAACCCCTTCCCAAAGGAACTACAGGCTTCCGTGAGAAGTGCTCAGCAATCTCTTCCAAAAATAGGAAATAATCCAGGCCTCCTTTATGGAGCAGGCACAGACCCTGCCCTCACCACTCCATTATCACTAGTTATCTATAGTTTATTGCTGTTATTGATATCATAATCAACTCCTCCATGCCCCCCGCCACGCTTAATACATGCACCCCAATGGGAGGGACAAATATTGGTAAAAGGGCATGTGATTTTGTGAGACAGCACTTCCCTGCTCTGTGTCAGTACTACAGAATAAAAACCTGCTGGGAAAAACCGGCCCAGCCTCTCCATCCCTTAGTATTGCTAGCGCCCGGGAGCCAGCTCGGGCACAGCCGGCACAGCCAGGTCTCGCGGCAGCACACAGAGGCTGGAGAGCGTCTAGCGGGGCAGCCAGGAAACCTGGGGCGACCCCAGGTATCCCGGGACCTAAGAGATAGGGGTCTCGTTTCAGCGATAACGGAACAACACGTGGGGGGCGGGGTGGGACTCTGCCCCGGGACAGCGCCCCTCCCCCACGCGCCGCCCGAGCGAGCTGGCGCGAGATTACTTGTAGGCTCCAACCGTCACCCATCCGGAGCACCTGGGCCGCCGGCAGCGACCGAAGGGAGAGAGGAACCAGGGCCGCGCTACGGATCTACCTCGCCGGCCTTCTACGCGGAAGCCCCCATAACACTCTCGTCACATACCCGCGACGCGTCTCGCGAGAGGACGGGGCGGAGTAGGGGACAATCTTTCCTCGCCCGCTTTCGCATTGCGGCGCGTTGCTAAGCGACCGCTGGGGCGCCGCGGCGGGGCCATGGCCCGGTTCGTGCTGGCCGGTGAGGGACGCGGGCCCGGGGTCCGGGGCCGTTCGGGAGCGAGGGGCAGGGGCTACCGGGTCATTAGCATGTCGGCTTCCCCCACTGTATTTTCTCGCGTACATCACGCCCCAGAATGTAATGCAGCCCGGGGGGGAGGGGCGGTCTAAGGGCACGACCACACCTTCGGTTAATGTGCTTTAGGCAACGCACATCAAATCTGGCGCCTCCATTGTGAGACACTAGAACAATGTGCAGGCGCCTATTCTAACGCTCATTAGCTAAAGGGCACTTTTTTTGGTGATGCTGTAATGCGCATTAAAATAGGCTACTGCGCATTAAATCCCATGTGGAAACGTGCCCTAGAGGACTAAAGAAATAACAGCTTACGTATTTTCAGATCCACCCCTGAATACATCCCCTGCTTTTTGATGGGCAGAATGAAGGGGGGGAAAAGATGTTTTCTAGAGTTAGGGCTGCACAGAGCAGGGACAGAGCCTAATGTTCAGCTGCCTGATCCTCCTTTTCCTGCATAAGTAAAGCTTAATCCCTGCCCGCTGCTAAAAACTGGTCTTCTGTGACAGATTGTGCCACAGAAACAGGGAACAGATGCATCTGCTCACATAGGAATACCACATTTCAACATTAACAAAATGCTCAAAATATCCCATTCAAAAGTTATATATTTCTTTTTAAAAAAAACCCCATATTTAATACCGTATCTTTTTTTGTCAAATTTTCACTGAAAGGCTCTGGAAGGCACCTGTCAATAAACACTCACAAGAACAGAGTCAAAGACATACACTTGCCCCTAAAAACTACCTTGACACACATCACATCTGCCATACAGTTCTCAGCTAGCAAAACATCTAATTCACACAAGTCAGCCAATACTATCAAATCCATAGCACTACTGTATCCTTCAGCTAATTCATATGGTAAGGCAGATGATGCTGCATTATATGATGATGAAACCAAAAGGTTCACAGTTGTAAACAGCTTGGTAAGAGGTAATATTGAAACATGAACACATATTAGAGGCAAGTTCACAGCAATATGCAAGATGCATGAATCTTGCATCTAACTCACAGTCCTTCTAAAGAGAGGGGAAGGAAAAGGGGACTGCAGATTGAGGAAAAGCATGCAGAACAAGGAATACCATGTTCTACCTTCTGAATGTTGCCCTAGGATTCCTTTTACCAGAGACCCCCAAGGATTGACATGGCCACTCATCTGATTTGGTATCAAGTGAACTTTATTAGTAACCCATAGGCTTATTACAAGATAATTATTCTTGCAATATGACCTGGCAAGTGGTTCCTTAGAAGTTACATCAGCGATCTTTGGTGGTACCAGCCTCAGATCCTCTGCTGGGTGTGTGGGATGTTAGTTTTAGTATTCCTTGTTACTCAAAGAATTCCAAGGCTGCTCCTGTCTGCTCAGGGTGGCAACACAAACACACGCTGTCTGTGTGTCCGCTTTTGTAAGTTTCTCATCTCAAACTGTCCAATCTTCAAGTTTCTTAGCTCATATTTGTAGATAAGTTACTCCAATCCTATTCCGTTTATGGTTTTCTTTCCTTTTAGGGAAACTACTGTACCTGGTTAGCCCACCATACCAATCACAGCACTCATTTTTTCCAGTGCCTTATAAGGCCGTCTGTACAATTTAATTGCTTAGTTCCGGGAAGGCCCTAAAGTTATGCTAAGAGCGTGAGAATAACTCACTTTGCCAACTACACTCCCCACCTTGATGCCCCAGAATATGCTGGCATCACACAGACATTGGTTGACCTCTCACATGCGACTCAAGGCACGTGGGCTACTAGGGCTGTGCGAAATGGAAGTGTTTCATTTTGATGTTTCGACAGAACAGTGTTTTGTTTCGATTTTTATTTCAAGTCAAAATGGCTGTTCTAGTTCGTTTCGTTGAAACGTTTTGCCATTTCGACCCTGTTTCGACGTTTTGCCCATAGGATATAATGGGGAAGGTTGACACAGGATATAACTTTGTCATTTCTGGCCAGAATTGAATGAAACTTGGAGGAATGGTAGCCTCTTCTGAGGGTATGAGGCGTGCCAAGTTTCAAAAAGATACGTGCAGGGGGTTCAGAGAAACCACCCCAAAATCTAGAGAGAAAAACTCACGTCACTTGTATGTGTGAAGCCACAGTGGGGTCAAAACTGCAGGCTTGCTAGCCCCTGCTGTGGCAACGAAGCCTGCCAACTCTCAGTGAGGTGCAGCAGGCTTGGGGTTCTGGGGCCCTGCACCTCTGGCTGTCGACAGGCAAAACTCGTGACATAGGTGTTTGCGACACTGTGTCTGCATTCAGGTGCGCCCTTCCCGGTGCTGGGGCCTCTGCACAACATGGCAGTGTGCCCCAGTGAGGCTTCCTCCTCCCCTGCAACCTCATCCCAGTCCACCACTTTAAACAATGGCAGGTGAAAAAACCTGCCAGACATCTGACTCCCCAGGTACCTCTGCACTTTTGCCTTTGCTGCTACATCCCCCTTTGCCCCCGACCCCCCACCCCAGCCTGTCCCTCACCCCCTGACACCTCCATTTCCATTTTCACTGACTGGCTTTCTTGCCTGCCTTACATGCCAG